TTGTCAGGCTAATTGGACTCAGAGGAGCAGGGACACGGAGTGAGTAAACCAGCATTTGAATCTTGATTCCACCACATGCTAGTGGCATGGTCTAGAACAAGCGATTCAATCTTGCTTCTTTATCTTTAAATTGAAATATTGTGAAACATAACATAAATGCAAGATATTGTAACGAGAAAACTGGATGTGTGCACAGACGATTGTGAGAACAAGCCTAATGACACTAAAGGAAAACAAGAAATGTCAGAGATGGAAAACTAAGAAGTCAGCGTATTTTTTATTTTTTCTGAATGAAAAGTAGACTTTGAGCAAACAGCACTTCAAATATTCTTTGTTCAGAAATAAGAAAGGTCTGGGGAAGATTTGTCCATGAGGAGCATTGGCTGTCAGTAAGATAAATGAGAGGCTGGTCCTCTGAACCAGCTACAATGATAAATGCATATTCCTGAGGAGATACTCAACTTCTCTCATAACTAGAAACTAAATCATATACAGCTTTTAAGAATGTGGAAACAATAAATTTTAGAAATAATCCCTACTTGCTGAAATAATATAGTATATAAGAAGCAAGAGGGAAAAAGACACAAGAAGGGAAACACCAGATCAATCACCTAAAATCAAACATACATTTATCTTTCAGACTGAGAAATAAAAACCAAGCAAGATGGCCAGAATATCCAATTTTTGTCATCATATGATAAACAACATGGAAAGCTCTGAATTATATAATTGAAATTGTGACCACCGCAAAGTAAAAATATTGACAGTTTGAAAAATAAGAATTCTGTATCTATTTTTTTCTCTCCCTGGGGATAACATCAGCTGATGTGAATGCAGACCCACAAGCCACGAAATACCTACAATATTCAGTTCTAGATCTGGTTTATGTGACCTTTAGCTTCTCCAATACAATAAATCAGGTGACTCCCTACCCTCCCCCCACTTTGTAGTAGACATTTATCTATTTTTTTCATTTATCTAGCATTTGAACCTCTTAAGTTTGAAAGTTCCCTGTCTTTTTGTTTGTTTGTTTGTTTGTTTTTTTGAGACGGAGTTTCGCTCTTGTTACCCAGGCTGGAGTGCAATGGCGCAATCTCGGCTCACCGCAACCTCCGCCTCCTGGGTTCAGGCAATTCTCCTCCCTCAGCCTCCCAAGTAGCTGGGACTAGTTCCCTGTCTTTTAAGTCTTGATTGTGAGTAAACCTAGCTTACTCTTAAGGAGCCTGAAAGTCTTACCTCTGCCTTTTACTTGCCCTTGTAGCCTGAGCCTGGGCATGGGAGCTAGTATTGATTTGCTAATCAGAAGCATCAGCCTTAGATCTTGGATTGAGAGGTAGACAAATGAAGAAGCAGGGGCCATACAGAATGTTTTTTCTGGGGGCAAGAATTGGCCACAGCCAGCACAATTCTGTGTTTCCAGTCCCTGGAGGCAGTGGTGCAGCTGTGGCGTCTCTCATCCATTGCTAATAGACAGTGGTGGACGGGAATGGTGTCCTTGCAGAAGACTCTTCCTGGGAGAAGGTGGGAGGAGGAAAATGTGTGATGTTGATTGCTCCTGCCATCTTTGTTTCTGCCTGTTTTCCAAGTCTGGTTCTCTAGTTGGTTGAAAGCTATACAATATTTGTTTTGTAATTTCTCTCCTTCCTCTCCTCTCCCTCTTCGTAGCCTCTCCACCCCAAAGGCCTCAAGTGTGGAGGATGCTCTTAATCGGGAAGGCAAAGTGACTGGTTCTGTGAATGTCAGTCAGGTGCATCCCCTAATATTTCTAGTACTTTCTCAATGGATTCCTGAACAAAGAGGATATGATGACAGGGATGGAGATTTTGCAGGGACTCAAGGACACATTCCCTTTGATTTTAAGAATATGTCCACTAGGGAGCACAGCAGTAACTCCATTGACTTGGAAATTGAAGCTGTCACCCAATCATTTCAGGATCCTCTTGCCAATGAGCAAATGAGCAACAAAAAATAGATGAGGTTTTGGTGTTGGTTGAGGTGATCGATTCTGATTGTCAAAGGGAAATAGAGTTGATACTCTCACTGGTATAGACTTTGAATGGAAGTCCAGGGGATCCCCTCTGTTACCTCCTATGCTACTAAGTCAATTAATAGGTTTTGACAACAACCCAATCTATGTAGAATACCTACGGTCCTTACATAACAAGGTCATTATACATAATAAAGAATCCCGTCTCGCTGAGGTTTTGGCCAAACACAATAGGGAAAACGAAATTGGTAAAATAGAAGAGAGAAGTCATAGTGAACAAACACGACTTTGTGGCTATGGCAGAAATGAGGTTGGTAGCACTGACTTAATTTTTTTTTCTTGCCGAAGAACATACATATACATATATTTGAATTACTCAGTTTTTTATTTCCACTCTTTCTATCCTTCTATTTTATAAGGGATATATTGGTAATTTTAACTTTGAAGTTTACTCTGTTATAAAATATTGAGATGGTAACAAGACAAAATTAATAGGAAAAGAATATTACCCAGAGCTCCAGGATTTGGAGTGAAATTTATTAACCAATTATACTTAGGTTATCTTATTTTGGAGAAGAGGGTAAACATATTTTGGGTGGTAGGGAAGATGGTTACATGGTTGAAATAGAGCCACCTCTTACTTCGTCCCCTCCTAAATATAAATCTATATGTATGTTGGGCATCTAAAGGGAGTGCTACATGGGTATTTAGCATACATCTTTTTTAGATGTCTGCAGTCCCTTCCCACATTTGAGAAATGCCCAGAAATGCCAATTACTGGGAGGCAGAGCCTGCTTCCTGCTGTCAGGTACTTCTCTTAGTTGCCTGGGTCTTGCTGCTAGGGAGAAGGCATACATCTTAGGCACTTCTAATCAGAAACTCCTCCCAGACTGCAGATTGGGAGCTTGTGATCCAATAAAGAGGAACTTCAGGGAGCCCATTCTGGGGCAGGTGTGGGCAGCTCAGCAGTGAGAGAAGTATGATGGCACCATCCGGAGTATGAGGAGAAATGCAGTAGTGGTGGCTAGTGTTTGGTGATGGTGATGGGAGTGCCCTTCTGGCTGCTATGTAACATCCCTGCTTTCTACCCAGTTTGTAAGTTTTGTTCTTCAGCTTTTCCTGAAGAAACTCTAATTTCTATTCTGTCAGAATCCAGCCTTTATCTAAGATCCCTAGTTGACACAGCCCTATCATTTATCAGAGACTCCATTTCTCACTTCTCGTTTCCCACCTTTCATCATCTCATCATCAATAACCCCCCAACAATAGCTACCAAAACTCATATTTACTCCACAGCCATAATGACTCTGACTAACACAGATGCCAATGCTGACATAGAGCTGGGCGATTTGGAATTTATGCTAGACCAGCGCATGCAGCAGTGATAACAGCAATGACAAAACCTTGCTGCTGATTGCAGAGATGAAATATTTCTGATTTTTTATTTATTTATTTTTTTTATTTTTTATTGGATTTTAGGTTTTGGGGTACATGAGCAGAGCATGCAAGACAGTTGCGTAGGTACACACATGGCAGCGTGCTTTGCTTTCCTTTTCCCCTTCACCCACGTTTGGCATTTCTCCCCAGGCTATCCCTCCCCAGCTCCCCCTCCCACTGGACCTCCCCTTTTCCCCCCTATAGACCCCAGTGTTTAGTACTCCCCTTTCTGTGTCCATGTGTTCACATTTTTCATCACCCGCCTATGAGTGAGAATATGCGGTGTTTCATTTTCTGTTCTTGTGTCAGTTTGCTGAGGATGATGTTCTCCAGATTCATCCATGTCCCTACAAACGACACAAAAATATTTCTGATTAATAGATATACAATCTGATGTGGTGAATCCATATTTCAAGTGATGAATTCATATAACTTGAATCAAGCTAATGTTTCAGCAAGCTGTCATCTCTCTTCATAATTATAAAAAGTCAGCATCGTTCAAGAATGTCAAAGAGCCAGGCCTGGTCGCTCTCACCTGTAATCCCAGCACTTTGGGAAGCCAAGGCAGGCAGATCATGAGGTCAGAAGTTTGAGAACCCCCTGGCCAGCATGGTGAAACCCCTTCTCTACTAAAAATACAAAAAAGTAGCCAGGCATGGTGGCGTGCACCTCTAGTTCCAGCTACTTGGGAGGCTGAGGCAGGAGAATTGCTTGAGCTGAGATCACGCCACTGCACTCCAGCCTGGGTGACAGAGCAAGACTCTGCAGAAAGAATTTTATTATTTCTTGAAATAACTAGTTGGAGTGAGAGGTGGATGAGGCGTGTGCTCCGAGGCAGCTGCAGACTTGTGACCAATTAAATGACGATTTGAGAGTTATGCTTATTAAGTAAGGCTGGGCTTGGCAACATGTGTGACTATTGTTCTATCTGAACTAGTCAAGAAAAAACAGAATTGCCCATGGTCCCTGACCCAAGTTTGTGTGAGAGAGAAGATTAAAGGCAAAGTATTTACCAATCTATATAATGGTATCAGGGAGTGAAAGAGCTAAGAGTCAAAGGTCTGGGTTCCAGTCTCATCTAGCAGAGGACAAATCACTTCATGTCTCTAGGGCTTACGTTCCTTATCTGTACTCAATTTTTTTTTAAAGCACCATATCCTCTGTATCTCTGAGATCTCTTCAAGTTCTAACCTCTTAGAGTCTTGGTTGAAGATTTGGTAAAATGAGTGCAATTCCCCTACCTTCACAGTGATACTATCAGGACCAAATGAGATAACTTAGGTCAAACACATGTTCACATTGATGGCTCTCAACTCTAGATAGCTCTTACAGATGTCATTATTGTGTAGTTGCCAAGGTTCCTTTTAATGTGTCCTTTTATTTATATGCATGATACTCTCAAAAAGGCCAATGTTACTTCTGCCAGAGCAGTCCAGAACCCAGAATGTCCAGACCTCAATTTAAGGGTCTATGTCTGAGTTTAGACCAGAAACAAACCCATGCTGGGAATGCAGCTGTTTTCAAGTGCTCATTCTATTTCATACAGTAAGGCTAAAATATTATGGAGGGAAATGACTAGAATTTCTTTTTTCAGCATGTGATTTTTTGTATTTATCATCTCTCTCAACTTTGTAGAAATGAACAGGCAGAAGAAGCAGAATTGAAGCTTGGAGCATAAGCTTGGGATTCCACAATTGGGTAGAGGAAGTATACGTTAGGATCTTGGCAGCAACCAAAATGGACCATTCTGTGGCCAAGGAACTCATTTGCATGGACCTTGAAGTTGGGGTACATGATAAGCTGGAATGAGGGTACCTGATGACCCGTGTACACCAGGCCAATTGGATGAGCAGTGCTGGGCAATCTAGGTAGCGTGACTGCATTTCTCCAGCTAACACTGGCGGTGACCCCACCCTCCGGTATTGGCAGTTGTGGAGTTTCTTGTTTTTGCTGAAGATGCTTGCATTTGGCTTTCTTGAGTTTTGCTCTGCAGTTCTTGAACCAGACCTGCAGTACTGTGGGGGGTGCATTTATTTTTGAGGCCATTTTTTTCTGAAGGCTGGAGTTTGGATATGGATTCTCATCGAATAAGATGTTCAGGTCTTTCGGTTGCTGCCCAGTGAACATGGTTCGTTTCTGTTTGAATGTATCTGGTCCTTGCCTTTAGGAAGATCCTCTGAGCCTGGCATCTTCTAATCTAGATGTGTGCCTGGGTTCAGATCCAGGGATAAGACAAATGACTAGATTCTTAACCATAGCCTACCTTCCTTCTCCTGTGATATTTTCATACATTTATCTTAAAGTGGGGGAATGTTTAATTCTACTGTCTGGTTCTGTTGCTAATTAACATACTTAATAATTTTTAAGAGATTCGTCTTCACTTACTTTGTTCTTTTCTTTGTTTTTTAAAGGTAATTTACCTAGAGTTACATAGTGGTTCTTGGGATAGTCATTTGGAAATTATTAATAGATCTATGTCATCTATCTTTCAGTAATTGCTTTCATGTTAAAAAGGTAACACTTGTTTAAAAAGAACTATTCTGAACACATTTTCACAATAAATATATGAGTACATCCACATTGTAAAAATCTTGAACAATATATAAGTGTGGAGAATAAAAAGTGAAATTCTCTCCTTCTTCTTATCATTCCCTTTACTTTCCCAAGAAATAACTGCTTGTAACAGTTTAGCGTGCATTGCGTCAGCCCACTTTCATATATTGGCATACTATATGTACGTACACATCTTCAATCCAACTGCTCTCTTAACTCTCACCTAGTTTTGTAGCTCAGTGAGACTTGGGTCTGCCGAAAGCAGGGAATGGTAGCATCATTCTACCTAGCAGAGTGGTATCCTCCCCTGTCTTTGCAGAGCACGAAGAGGAAAGTCTTCTATGCTGATGCAAAAAGCTTGCAGGAGTGTGTCTCTAGAACTTCAGGCAATTTCACTCTTTACCTGGGCCATTCTCTGCTGCCTCGTCTGTATACTATTTGGTTGGTGCACTGATTCTCTCACTGAGATCCTCTCTCATGGTGTGTCTGTGGCAAGAAGCAGGAGCGCGGAAGCTGTTTCTGAAGCTTGTACAATGAGCATGGGGATGCCGAGTGACCATACTCCCTTCTGCTCTAATCTGAAACAAGCAGCTGTAAGTAGTGCTGGGGTACCTCCATTTTTTTTTTAGGAGGCAAAGAAAGCCAGTGACAGAGAGAAGAGAAATAAAAGGACAATGTTTCAGCCTCTTGCTATATTAAGAAAATAAAGAGAGTAGTTTTCAACATTTGTTTGTATCATTTCAACCATTCACAATGTGCTGGCTGGAAGTGATACATCCACATCAGAGATACTGCAAATGTGATGATCAAAGATTATGACTATTTGTCTTTGCTCCCAAGCATGTGGGCATAGCCACAAGAGTCAGCCCAGCTGCTGTTGCATAATCCTCAGTATCATGCATTCCAGGGACCCATTCTGACCAGTCAATCTATTCTGCTCTTGGAATGATTGTGAATGAAGTTACCATGAAGAGTTATGGAGAGTGATGTTTCTGGGACTGATGTCAGGATATGTCAGCTTGGAGCATCCATTTACTATCTTGTTCGGCATCAGCAGCTAGGGCAGAACCTACTAAGTAAAGCCTTATCTGATCTTTGTGGAACAGCCAGGTGGTCTTCACAAGCCAGGCTGAGGCACGATGATCTGTGACTGCTGTGATGGGTGCCAGCTGTGATATAAATGATCCGCTGACAGGGTTTATTTAATAATTTCTCATGTAAGGACATTTTCCATGACCACTAATTAGCTCAAGAATTTAGCTAAGAGTTCTCACTTGACTTACAGACAGCATTTCCAGCTGGCCAAATACCAGTTATTCTTTCTGTCACTTGTTTGGTGATTAAGTTTCCTATGGAGACAGTGAATTGAACCAGGGACAGTATCAGATGGAACTAAGTCTTGGTTTATCTGTTTGCTGAGCTGTAAATATCTGTCATATCAACAGGGGGGCTGCAGGCAGCAACCTTAAGGCTGAGTAGTTGAGCAATGGAAACAGAAAGAAAAAGGTTCCCCTACAGCCTGAGAACCCTGCTTCAAGGGACTCTTGCTTAATCGAAAGTATTCTGAGATAAATTGTCAGCCATGAAAAACTCAAAATACCTAATTAACCATCTTTCAGATAATCTATAAAATATGCATTCTTTCCAATTAAGAGCATGAATAATACATCCAGTTATTGATCAGGATTTCTTTTCTTACCTTCTGCTCTCTCCATTATCTTTGAAACCACTTTCTATTGTTTTTAAATTGTTACATAATAATCGCACACATTTACAGGGTACACGTGATATTTTGATATGTGGCTATAGTGTGTAACGATGAAATCGGGGTAACTAGGATCTCTATCTGATCAGGATTTCACCTGCTTAGAACAAGTGTTCTAAAACTCATCAAATCCCTGATTTTTAAAAATCAAGGTGAAATTTGTATAGCATAAAATTAACTCTTGTAAAGTGAACAATTTTAGTTCTCATGTAAGGAGATTTTCCATGACCACGAATTAGCTTAAGAATTTTGCTGAGTTCTCACTTGACTTCCAGAGAGCATTTCCAGTCAGGAGCATTTCAGCAGCATTTGGCATCATCACACACAGTATTGTGCAACTGCCACCTCTATATGGTTCCAAAATATTTTTATCACTCAAAACTAAAACTTCATACCCTTTACCAGTATTTCACATTGCTCTCTCCCTCCAGCTTCTGGCAACCATTAACTTGCTTTCTGTCTTGATAGATTTGCATATATTGCATATTTCATAAAAATTGAATTATACTACATGGGACCTTCTGTGCCTGGCTTCTCTCACTTAGCATGACTTTTTCGACATTCATCCATATGGTAACATGTATCGGCACTTCGTTTTGTTTTATGGCTAATTAATATTTTATCATACATATGTACCACAATTCACTTATCCATTTAACTATTCATGGACATTTATGTTGCTTTTACTTTGGTTTATTGTAAATAGTGCTATTATAAACATCTGTGTACAAGTATTTTTTGGTACATGTTTCTGATTCTTTTGAGCATATGTTTTTCACAGGGGCTGTACCACTTTACATACCCACCAGCAATGTGTGAGTGTTCCAATGTGCCCATTCCCACTCCCAAGCCTTGTGGCAGGCAGTTGTGCACAGGTTCCGGGAGTAGCTTGCATGCAATTTGTGGGAGCCAGAGTGATCATAAAGGATGTTGTCCTCCAAATATCAGGGATTCACGCTCTCATTACTGATTGCTGCTACTAGTCAGGGAGCTATAGGCACAGAGGTGGGCCGTCATTATTGCATACCCTCACTTTTATTACTGCATAAACTTCCCCTCTAGCTGAAGCAACTTTCTGTGGATTTAAAGGGCCAGTGTGTTTTCCCATCTTTACTTCTTTCCTTTTTTTCTTCCCCTCTTGGGAGCCAAGTATTTAGAACATTCAAAAGCAACCACATATGTGGAGATTTAGAAAGTTGCTGCACATTTCCAGGGAAAGGTATAGCCTCAAAAAGACCTGAGGATCTTAAGTTTTCACCTCAAAGTGATTCTCAGCATAGACCGGCCACAACATTTCAAAAACAAAAACAAGCAATCAAACAAAATAGCAAACACTGTGGAAGTGAGGGAATCTGATTTCCAGAGTTACTGCTTTATTACATTCAAATACTCAGTTTTCAACAAAAAAAGTACAAGGCAAACAAGCAGAAAAGTATGGCCCATTCAAAGGAAAAAAATTAACAAATGGAAACCACACAGTAGGAAGAGCAGATAACAGGTCTTCTAGACGAAGATTTTAAGAGAGACCAAAAAAACTTCTGGAGCTGAAAACATAATAACTGAAATGAGAAATTCACTAGAAGGACTTGAAGGCAGATTTCTTCAGGCCAAAAGAAGAATCAGTAAACTCGAATACAGGAAAACCAAAATAATCACATCTGAAAACAGAAAGAAAAAAGATTAAAGAAAAATGAAGCCTAAGAGATCTATGGGACATCATCAAGTGGACCGATGCAAACACTGTGGAAGTCTCAGAAGAATAAAATAGAAAGAAAGAGGTAGAGATGCTCTTTGAAGAAATAATCGGGCCGGGTGCGGTGGCTCATGCCTGTAATCCCAGCACTTTGGGAGGCCGAGGCAGGTGGATCACAAGGTCAAGAGATCGAGACCATCCTGGTCAACATGGTGAAACCCCATCTCTACTAAAAATACAAAAAAAATTAGCTGGGTATGGTGGCGCGTGCCTGTAATCCCAGTTACTCAGGAGGCTGAGGCAGGAGAACTGCCTGAACCCAGGAGGCGGAGGTTGCGGTGAGCCAAGATCGCGCCATTGCACTCCAGCCTGGGTAAAAAGAGCGAAACTCCGTCTCAAAAAAAAAAGGAAAGAATCACTGATAATTCCCCAAATTTGGTGAGTTTGTAAACATTCGAGAAGCCCAATGAACTCTACGTAGGATGAAATTCAAAAGATACACACAAAGAAATGTTACAATCAAACTGTTGAAAGAGAAAATCTTAAAGCAGTAAGAGAGAGGCAACTTGTCACTTACAAATGACTCTCAATAAAAATATCTTCAGATTTCTCATCAGTAACTTTGGAGACCAGAAGAGAGTGAAATGATATAGTCAAATTGCTGAGGTAAAAGAATTGTTAGATCCAAATTCCTTATCTAGCAAAACTGTCCAATGAGGGAGAAATAAAGACATTCTCAGATAAACAAAACATAAGGGAATTCATTACCATTAGATCTTTCCTGTGACAAATTTTAAAGGGAATCCTATATGTAGAAATTAAAACTAGGGAGTAGCTCAAAGCTTGGAATATTGTTACTCCAGTTTATAAGTAGAGTTCTACTTTTCATTTTTAAACATGATTTAAGAGGCTAATACACTAAAAAAAATTACTACTCTGGGCCAGGCATGGTGGCTCAGGCCTGTAATCCCAGCACTTTGGGAGGCTGAGGCAGGCAGATCACCTGAGATTAGGAGTTTGAGACCAGCCTGGCCAACATGATGAAACCCCATCTCTATAAAAATACAAAAATTAGCTGGATGTGGTGGGGGGCACCTATAATCTCAGCTCTTTGGGAGGCTGAGGCAGGAGAATCACTTGAACTCAGGAGGCAGAGGTTGGCAAAATGAACTTAAAAACCATGACCCAACTATGTGTTGTCTGTAAGAGACTTACTTTAGGT